TACCTAAAATGTACCAATGATTAGAATGAATAATCGATAATGTAAAATAGGAAGGAAAGGTCCAAAGGGGTAGGGGTAATGGGAGGGGCAGGGGAAAGGAAAGAAGGGAAAGGAAAAATGATGAGAAATGGAAATAAAGTCTTTGTAAATAGGGAAGGGTAGAGGGGGTGCAGGGAGGGCTAGAAATGGGGAAAAATAAGAACCAAGACGCATCATGTAAAGGTACAATTCCCAATGAGAAATGTAATTGTGTTGTATGCCTACAATGTACCAATAAAAGAATTTAATAAAAAAAAAAGAAAAGAAGATTAATTCACTGTCAACTGGACAAGGAAATAGAAATTAATTAAAATGAGAGATTGACAAGTTTAAGTACAAAACCAAAGAAATGCCATTTAGTATCAAATGGTTGTCAGTTCATATTAGCAATATTGTAATACTTAGAAAAGTAAAAACATTCTAGAGCATTTTTTAGGTAAAAATATTCACAAATTTTCATGTGTCCAATTTTCTTACCAACCATTATCATCCTTGAATGGCTGAAGCATAAATAATCAAATAGACATCTACAATATCCACTGGCACTATAAATCCATATATCTTTGAATAGGAAAAATAATAATATTTAGGAAAATGTATAATTTTAAAAATAAATGAAATCAGGAACAAGGCCTCAGTATCAGCTTCAAGACCCGCCTGGAGCAGCTGAGACTCACTGCTTTGTGAAACTGATTACATGCATACATCTGGTCCCACGCTGGGAACTCCAGTGTAGCAGCTCCTGAGGCCCAGGGTCTACGATTAAACAAACCTCAGATGACTCAGGCACAGACAGTGTGAAGAACCACTGGACCAGAGGACAGATTGCTATGAAGCAAAGGTTCTCAACCCAGGCTGCAAATTAGAATCACCTGGGAAGTTTTAAAAATGCCCAGATTACACGTTAGACCAATTAAACTAGAATCTCAGGGGATGAGATTCAGGTATCAGCATTTTCTAAAGCTGTCCACCTCTATTTATATGAAACTATTATTGATTATGCAAATATTAATACACAAACTATTTTCATAAAACGTATTGACAATATTCTGTTGAATAGAATTTTGTATAGGTAAATAGGGTTCATCTGAGTAATTTCAATTATGTAAAAAAGATTGTATTTCTAAACCAAATCCATTTTTATATATCTTAATACACCATGTATGCAAATTTCTGATTTTACTCTATGCAATTTCACAATTTGAACTGGTATGGAAATAAACTGAAGATAATATTTACAATTTATAAATTCACATTTAAAGTTACATTGAAAAGATTAAACTTTAGGTTCAACCTGTAGGAGAGACCTCAGTTCTTGTGAAGGGACAAAAGGAAAAAGGGTCAGATCAGCATGAGAATTTCAACATCAAGTGCTCCAAAAGCTAAACATATGGGCTAGGGAGTATCAATTTGCCCAGCATAGGGGAGGCCTGGGGTTTGATTCCCAGTACCACAAAAAAAAGAAAAGAAAAACAGAAGTCTAGTTTTTCTAAAAGCTTTCTAATTTCCTGTTGAGTGTTTTCCCTTTCTAAAGAGTGAAGATGGGGCTGGGGATTTAGCTCAGTGGTTCTGGCGCCTGCCTTGCAAGTGCAAGGACCTGAGTTCGATCCCCGGCACCAAAAAAAAAAAGAAAAGAAAAGAAAAGTAGGTGTTTGTGGTTAAAAAGTTCCTTCTAAAGAGTGAAGAATCAGACTGAGTACTAAAAACATCAAAAAAACAAAATGAAGAGTAAGATTCCTTCAGGTTAGCTGAGCAGAAAGTGATGATAAATATGACTATTTTTTGAAGAGAGGTGCAGGAACATGCCATTAAGATTACATAAGTCCTAAGATTGCTCTAAGCAGATACAGATTGATTCCTTCAACTACTCATATTTAACCAATAAGTCTAAGTTATCTACAAAATTTTTGTATGCAGTATGGAAAGATGGTCTAGATAGGGCTGAAAATACAGGATAAATCTCAAGGAAGCAGTCAAAAATCTACATTATGATAATTGTTATTTAGCTAAAGCCCATGCAATTTTCTTTCCAAGCTCTCATTTAGTTTTTAAAAGCATTGTGCCTAACAGTGAAAACCCAGTAGCTCACTAGATGAATTTTTAATTGACAGCTCATTTTCTATAAAGCATCAAGTTATAAAAATAAAGCATCCAGTCATGCTACAGTCCCAGTCGCCACTACATTGTGCCATGTTTTATATACTATACCTGTCATTGATTTCCTCAAATGACTTATGGGGGAGGTGGATGAAAAAGAGGCAGGTTGGGGAGACAGAAAGAGAGAGAGAGAGAGGTTAACAACAAAAAGAAAAACCAACCAAGAGCTTTAAGACCACACAGTTGGGAGACAGTTTCCCTCCACCTCCCTGGGGCCCCCAGAATGCAATCTTGGGTCAGTGGTACCCACTGAAGGACAGGGCTGCAGAGGCTCCAGTTCACAGTCACCTCCATTCCCTCTGATCTGCATGGATGACAATGGGTTGTTTGTACCTTGCTTCTCTCTATTTATTAACAAATGGCTCACCCTCCAAAATAGATTTCTCTGAAGCAAGAAAAACGACTTAAAATAGCTTAAATATACATCAATAATGTAAATCAGTGTTTATCTCTGAGTAGTTACACCTTCTCAGTGCTTTCTTGTATTTTCCAATTTTTCTAGAATGACTATATATCACTCGTATAAGGAAATTTTTTTTTCAATTTGTTACTTCTAGAGAAAAGGAAATATTCTCATCAAACAAAGATGATGTTCTTGGGGAACATAAGCATTTTATTAATTCTATACTTCACAAGAGATGCCTGATTTAAAAACACTGAAGCTCTGCCTTAATGAAATATGAAGCAACCTAATGATTTAGTTCTCCTTCAGATCGGCCACATCTACTTGATCCAGAGAAATTTCTCCGCTGGAGGAGCCTGAGGCAAATGAAAAGCCCAACATTGCACTGTTTGTCCTTGATCTATTCCCCAGCCTCACTAGAGGGCTAAGAGGATGTGATCTTTTAACACCCATCAAAAGGTGGTGCTTTCCCCAGTCTGACCACAAGGCTTGGGGCCACCCTCTGGGGAACTGTCTCCTTGCTCCTGGTTAATCCTGCCTCTGTGGAGAGCCAGCATCTGCCTGCTGTTCTAGAGAATCATGCATGAGGCTTAGAGATCTGACTCTGGAACAACCAAGGAGCACCCAAGGAACCTTCTGTCTACAACTGCTTGCTGGAATTAGGGGACCTTGTCTTCAAGTAACCACTTGGAGAAATGCCACCACACTACCTGGGAGAAGTGCCACAATTTATGGCATCCTTTTGCATCAAAAAGTGTGCCAAAATGTTCCTCTGAGCTTTGGCCAGTCTCAAAGGGAATGGCTCAAGTGAGAGGACATCTCAGATTTCGAAGTAGAGAGAAAAGGCCCAGCAGCCAGTGAGAGGATGCCAGGAACCAGGAGGAAAGAATAAGGTTGTAAAGCTGCTTCCATTCTCTCTTAGAAAAATTCCAATCCCATGTGACAAGAAGGCCTGACTTCATGAATCTTTTAGCTGGATCTGGGCATTGGAACTTTCAGGATTTGTGGGGAATTTTCTATAGGTATCTTGAATACCCAAATAATTCTAAAATTCCAGAATTATATAAACCCCAAACTGAAATATAAATAACTTTAAGGAACACTAAACGATGAATTTTGAGTGTAGACTTGGAGCACAGTGGGTGCCTGTCACATCTGGCTCTTACCATCAGGAAGACAGTCTCGTCGAGCTCCTCGGCCTCCCTCACTATGGCCTCCAGGGTGTCCTTAGCAGTGTCCATGCTCTGCAAAAAGTGAACCATCTGGTCATGCAGGAACTCCATCTTCTTCTTCTTCACTTCCTCAAAACTCTGGGCTTTCTCATCATACTGCGCCAAAACTTTCTTCATCATTTCCTCATTCTGTTCTTCTAGCCTCTTCTCATTTTTGGTACAGTTTTCCTAGGGGGAAAAACAAAAACACTCCTGAGTGAAACAAGAAGTACACCCCTTTTTTCCTCCTCCTCTTCTTTTTCTTTTAAAGAACTGACAGCTGGCATCTCAGTAAGAAAATCAGAATTTTAGATTATAGACTGTGCACTTCATATTTAATTAACATTAAATTTCTAACCTACCAACCACATTAGCAATAATTAGTTTTTCAATAGAGATAGCTGTAAGTATCACCCAGAAGGTTTTAGATACTGAAAAACCAAAGCAGGGGGCATTTGTATGGAAGTCTGAGCCAGCTGAATTCCCACGTGATAAAACTTGAAAGTGGTATTATAGCAAGCAAGGAGCCCAGACCACCAGATGGTGGTGAGGGCTGGTGCTATTTCCTACCCTCCACCAAAATCACGGTGTGAGGGAGTGGGGTGCCAGAAAATTGAGCCAGGGTCCTAAATTCCCAAATGTTCTCCGGGGAAAGGCAGCTTCTCCTTTGCCCATCTAGACACACCCAGACGCGTAGCTACCTCATCAGCAAGGTTGGTTAGTGATGAGGTGATCATATAATTTACTCTCTAAAGGTGACCCTTTGCCCCTGGCCCTCTGCCATCCTTGATTGACAGGTGAGGGTGCTGGGCCCTGTCTGCACAGGTATGGAGCATCACTACCTTCTCCTTTCACTGTGCAGGGCGAATAACAGCAGCCAGGAGGGAATGAACTCATGGAGGACAGCTGTACCATGAGAACTGCTTGCTGGCCCTGCACATAGGCCCTGGGCAGTGCCTTCAAGCATTTTTGCAGGGCTAACCCAATGAGAGACAGAAAAGCAGAATAATGTACTTAACTCTAAGTCTCAGTTTCTTAGCTACTAAATGAATGCAATAACACCTATCTCATAATGCTGTTTGGAGGATAGATTAGGTAAAGCATGTAAAACCCTGAATATAGTAAATGCCTGATGACCACATGTCTGTTGCTATGGGCACACCCTTTGTTCTTAGGCAGAAAGTGGCACCCAGGCAAGACACCAACAACCCTCACTTTGAGGGAACAAAACCAGCAATGGCAAGCAACACACATACACACACACACACACACACACACACACACACACCAATTCAGATCACTTTAGCTCAGAATCATTTATTTATGATAAGGTAAAAGGGATTATGTTAACTTACCTCAATGGTATTAAAGAAAGATTCGATCTCACTAACAAAGGCCTCAATCCTCAAGGATTTTTCTTGTAAATTTTCAAGAAATTCTGCTAATTGAACCTGAAGAAAAGAATTACAGTATCCTTAATACATAACACTTGGGAAAAGAACTTCAAGCAGTGGGCTCCAATTTCCTTATAAATATATCTGGTAGAGATTTTTTTATACCATAGTCAACTAACAAATCTTTGAATTATTTCTGCTACCATAGCTAAATTGATTATAGAAAATTCTGTATGACAAACAACAAGAGGTTTGTAAGTGACAGCCCCAAAGTACAGAAAGACAGTTATATAGGAGAAACCTGAAATACAAATAAAGAGCAAAATAAATAATAGGAAAGCGGAAGATAGATCTTTAGCAAGCAGGAAAGGAACCAAGAAATGGAGGGAGGGTTGAAGGAGGGAAGGAGAAGGGGACTTAAAAAGAATTAAGATGCGTTATGTACATGTACCAACTCCCCATGAGGAATGTAATCATTATGTACTGCAAACATGTACTGATAAAATAATAAAAATTGGAAAAAAAAAGAAAAGACCATTTATCTTCTCATGCAAAAAAAAAATTGACTTCTTGGTAAACTAGTGAGCTTATTTAAATGAGCCACAGATTTGAATGCCTTCTCCTTAGTAGTGCCTCATTCTAAGCAGCCTTCCCACTACACCAGCTCAATATACATAAGTAGTCTACTCACATTTGCACCTGTAGCCTCAGGAGCACAGGAAGGCCTGCCCATGCAAAGGTGATGGACCCCAGCAAACCAAATAACAGAAACTGCCTACTAAATGGACATAAATGTCCTAAAGACCTTCAACGAGTTAAAATACTCAACTAGAACATAAATGGGGGCAGTGAGGGAGGATGTTACCTACTTTAACCAGAGTTATGAACCTAGCAATGTATCCTGGTAGACAAACTTAACAAATTCACTGTCTGATTCCCTCCCCATCAAATGATGAAGATGTTACACTGAGGAAGCACTTTCAAGGATCTGTCCTCTCGGTCCCTACTTCCAGAATCTCCCAGCCCTTCACTCCTATCACACACCCATTCTTTCCTCAGATTCTTCTTATATGTGTGCCTTTTCCCGTGTATTCTCTAATTCTGGAATGTTCTCCAGGCCCTTGACTGCTAGAAAAGCTCTCACATGTAGGGCTCAACCAAGCTGTGGGCTTTAGAAATACCTTCCACAGCCCTCCCCATACACCCACATCTGTGTGCTCACGTTCCATACTGATCTGGGGAATCTTAAATATCCATCTTCCTATTTTCTCTTTCTTCCCATTCTCAGTTTTAGCTCCACTCCTGACACATAACAACAGGTCAATCAACTCTGAGAAGGAAGCAACGGAGTGAATGAAGAAAGAGAAAATAAGCTATCACGGTGGGAGCGGACCTGGAGGAGAAGCAAGGACTTGGGTTACCTGTAAATGTAGCCATCAGTCCCTAGGGAGGAGCAGGATACCACCTGTAAGACGCTAGAGAACTCTCAAGTCACAGCTTTTTTCGATTGATTTTTGTTTTTTAAAAGTTGCCAATCAACTTTTACTCTTTGTGGTTATCTCAATGAAATGAAGCAATATCAGACAAATTGAGAAGGATTAATTCAGTAGGAAAAATGCCCAAGATTCCAATATGGTATGTTATTTAATCAAAGCAGTCTGACAATTATTTAATAGTGACCGAATTGAATGATCACTTTGGGAATCACTACCATTGGCAAGGCACTGAGCCATGCAATATGAATGTATAGTCAAGACCAGAACTCTGGCATGGACAGGCCTGAGTACCAATCTCAGGCTGGCCTTCCATGACTTCGGGCAAATCACTTACTCTCTGACCTCATTTCCTTATCTGCAAATTGATGACACTGACTTGACAGGGTTGTAGTGAGAATTAAAAGGCATCCTGTATATAAAGAACTCAGCACAGTTCCTAGCATTGAGAAAATGCTGAGTTCTTCTTGTTTTCTAATTTTTAAGGTCATCGTGGCTGCTAGCAGGGGAATGGATTACAGAGGTGGGACCAGGGTGACCAGCTAGAAGGTGATGAAAAGATAGACAGGAAGCTCAGAAATTAAATGTTGATTTCCAACAGCATCCCTAGGGAGGTGCAGAATTTATAACCACACACAGAAGGATCTTCCCAGTGACTAACTTTGTACCTAGATTAGGGTCTTACAGATACTGTCAGAGACAATGCAAAGGGTTTTCATTTATAACATAAATTTTATAAGCAAAACAGGAAATATGAAAAAAATCAGAATTAAAAATCTTACCTATTTTGTTTTATAATAAAATTGCCCTATGTGATTATTTTATAGAACAACACTATAGATGGCATAAGTTATATTTTATGTTCAAAGGTATATTATTAAGTCTAAAATTATTTGGTATTTTTATAATGTTAAGATGCTATAAGATGATAAGTTCCCCAAAGTCAGTGACTCCGTGTTATTTCCTGGTAGTCCCCAGGACCTAGAAAAATGTCCAGCACATAGTATATACTCAATAAATATTTGTCAAGACAACCTCAACTAAATTCTTGGGGAAATATTCTCAATTTGCTTCCAGGCTATTCTCCATAAAGATGCATAAAGATTCTGCATATCCTTATGCATATTCTGCATAAAGATATCAAATACTGGTCCTTTTTTAACTGAGAAAATGTGAAGGTGAATATATATTTTTTCTTTAAAAATATATATTACAATTTAAAGTTAACTTGCCTTAACAGCACATATAGCTGTGTCAAGCGTTGAAACCTCATGGTCTTTGTGGGTGCCAAACACCTTGTCCATTGTGGAAATTGGGCTTTTGCATGTATAGCAATATGTGTCAATCTGGGACTTCTTCGGTTCCTTTTGTGCCTTCTCAGTCACTAACTCTGATGACAACTGGTCTTGTTCTGTCTTCCCTCTGGCCAACTTGTTCTGGTCAGTAGATGTATTCTGTTCTACCTCAGTAAGAAGTTCACATTTCCTGATGTGTTCAACAGATTCCTTTCCTTGAGGCAACACAACTTCAGGTGCAGATTCTGAATATACCTCATCTGATAAAGTGTCCTGACTAACCACTTCATAATTCAGGGATTCAGCAAATTCATACTCATCCTGCACAGGGCTGTTGCGGAGCCTCTCTTCGCTTGGCTCAGGTGGGACCAGTATTTTAGGTTCTTCTTGTGGGGTTTCTGGAATATTAGTTGCACCTGACACAAACTCTTCCTCTGGGAAGGACACTTGCGTTGGGACATTCTGACTGACCTCTTGGCTTATGTTTCCTGCTTCATTATCCTGACTGCTCACTTCCGCTACACTCTCTAGAACATGGCGGCTATCTTGAAATGGAACCGCATAGCTTATGTTCTGGGTAACCACTCTGACCTCCTCAGTGATGGGAGCTTTCTTCTGTTCTGCTGTGTCATTAGAGGTCTCCACATGGCCTATGGCTTCTCCTTCTCCGTAAACAACCTTCTGTTCTTCCAAACTCTTTTCCCAAAGAACAATTCCAGACTTCCTCCAAATTTCCCCTTCTGCAGCTATCAGTTGATATGAATCACTCTTGCCAACTGGTTTTTCTTCTAGACCTTGGCCTTGGTCCTTCTGCGTTACAGATGTGTCATGCAGAATGTCATCTCTGAGTGTATACTTCTCAAAATACATTCCTGTTCCATCATCAGTGTCAGAATTTCTGCTTGGAAATGATGCCTCAGAATTCACACTGTCACCTTCAGAAGCTGTCTCTCCTTCCTTCTTTTTCTCCCCAACTGCCTCTTCGTACAGATCCTTATATAAAAATGGAAGTGCAGGTGGCTCCTCCAGGAGTTCAGGATTAACAGCTTTGACAGTGTTCGGAAATATCTGGGTTCTGGATAAAACCCCTTCCTCTAAATCAAATAAAGGCATCCCAAGTGACCTGGAGTCCACATCTCTGTTTATGCTCTTTGAAGCATTTCTGTCAGCTGATTTTTGAGTAACCAAAGACTTTTGCATCTCTGGCTGAGATAATTTGCTGTGGTCCTTTTCCAGTCCATAAAAACTTTCATCTAATTTTACCAGGTCATATTCTTGTTCTAGGACACTTCCCTGGGAACTTTCTGGGAAAGTGAGAGTTTCTTCTGTAGCTTCCTTTGAGATCTCCTCCTTCATAGTTAGTTTCCATGGAGCTTTCTGTTTTTCTGGGTCTGGGGAGATGTTATAATCAATCAAAGTATATTTTTCAAAGTAATCCTCTTCACTGGGAATTGTGGGCTGAATGAAAGCTAAATCACCAGTGTCTGAGTCCATGGCTATCTTCTCTTTTGTAACATGAGCTTCCTTTCCTTCATTCTTCAATGACGTAACTTTTCCTTCAGAATCTTCTAGCTTGCTCTGTAACATTTTATGACAAACAACTGCCTCACTATCATCATGAAGGGATATAGTTTTAAATGAAGTTTTGTCTTCTAAATACTCCAAGGTATCTTTCATTTGTTCACTTTCTTCCTCATCCACTGAAGGAATAAAGGCAGGTGCATGAATATTCAATATCTCACAACCTTCAGAAATGATACTGAAGGCACTCTTCTGATCTTGTGAAAGATCAGTTGGTTTGCCGGTCACTGTGGACTCTACCTTTTTTGCATGTGCATATTCGGGCTCCTTGAACATTTCTTTAGCAGATGTCATCTCATCAGCTTTGCTTTTTGAGGCACTAATTATAAATTGAGCATAGTTGCTTCCTGCTGCAGAGGACAGTTCATTTATGTGAGCATCTTCCACATTCTCCAAGGGATGCTTTGAAATAAGAACAGATTGCTTAAGCATCTCAGATGAGTGATCTTCAGATGTCTGAATAGTTTGGCCTGTAGGGTGACCTGGAGTCAATTCTGTCCATGGAATTTCTTGTTTCTTGGCTATGTTAACTTCTGGACAAACCTCTGGAACAAGAGTTTGTGGTTTTACAGATGACAGCAAATATAGTGGCATTTCTAAGCTCTTTGTATCATCAGAAGGATGATCTACAGTACTTCCAGGGATTAGAGATGGAGATCCTCGACTGGTGCTTTCTTTTGTGGTGGCTACTGAACCACCTGTGGACAGCTGTGACAGTGTGAGCTGTCCCTTTTCCTCTCTGTCACCTGCCAGATATCTGCTTGACTTTTCTAATACCATATTTTCTTCCTGAGGGAAAGGATGCTTATCTATTTCATCACGATAAGGAAGATCCACTGGGCACAAAGTCTTAGTTTTCTTCACAAAACTTTTACTTTCTTCTAATGGATGTGGTTGGCTTTCTACCACCTGTCTTTCCTTGATTTCTAGGTGAGCCTCTGAAAGCACACTTTCTGGTTTTTCAGTAATCGATGGTGTTTTAATTGACAAAAATGGTTGTATTTCACCCAAAGAATGAAGAGAAGAGATAACTGGCTCTTCAGGCATAGACCTAGCCACATTCAGAGAATCAGGCTGATTTTCCTGCTGCTTCTTTCCTTCCAAAAATACCTGTGACTGCTTTTCTTTTTCTTCTCTGTTCTCTTCCTCAGAACAAACAATAATTTTGGCTCTTTCCTTATGCTCTTCATTTGGATAGATGTGCTCCAGCCTAGCAGCAACTTTTGATTCTTCTAATTCAACAAGTCTATATTCATGTGTCATTTGTGATTTCACTACTTTTTTATTTTCTCTAAGCTCTAAGGGAGGCACTACTTCTTGTTTGTCTGCCAGGTCATTCTTTTCTGCCAAGGTATATGATCGAGTTTCCAAGTTATCTTTGTCCTCCGTTAGGCTGACAGGACCAAGTTTTACTTCCTCTTCAGAATGTTTCAAGGAAGTAGGTTTGGGAATTTCTTTCTTTAATCTGTCTTCACCAAAATCAATTAAACTGCTTTTTGATTCTTCTACTGGCAAAATTATTGGCTCTGGCTTCTCTGATTCTTTCATGATATTTTTACTTGTGAAGGTGAATGAATCTGATTTTAGCTGTTGTGACATCTTATCTACTACATCAAATGAAAATGATTTTTCTTTTTGATCACCACTTAGTTCTTCCTTAAGAATAGAAATATTCCAATTAGATAGAGGAGCTATTGCTGGCTTCTGGTATCTTTTACTCTCAGTAACATGAGAAGGAACATTTTTGGTTTCTTCCATAACCAATTTCTTATCAGGTTGAACTCCAAAATGTTCTTCACTATCAGCAGAAGTGATTAAGTCTATGCTCATTTTCTCTGAAGAATCTGGAGTTTTATTCTTCCCATAATCTTCACTAGACACCTCTGGTAATGAATGATCACCTGGTTTCTTGGTTGCATTAAAATCAGCAGGACTCTTACCTTTTGGCTCTATCATAGTCACTGCTTTTTCTACAGAGTGACTTGGCTGAGTGCTTAATTCTTCTTTTTCAGGAACTTTGTCATCTGAGGTGCTTGATCCAAAAAGTAAACTGGACATCCATGATTTGAAAGATGAAAGTCCTTTCTTTCCCTTTTCCTCAGGAAGCCTTTGCTCTGTCATCTTCGGCTTCTCATGCAATTGCTGTGTGACTTCCGGTGTCTCTGGTGGTTGAGGTTCTTCGTTTGCTTGGATTGAGGGGATGGGTTTTGTTTGAATGGGTATCTTTACTTCAAGCACTGGTTTCCTTCCTTCAGTCGCCTCATCTATAATCTTTGTCAGAACCATTTTTGATTCTTCTCGTGGCTTCTCTTCAAGTAACGGAGGAATGCTCCTGCGTGCTTCTTTCTCACTGCCCAGTGCAGGTTCCACAGCTTCCACCAGGAAATGGGATGCTTTGACCGGAAAGGAGGTGATTTCCAACTTCATCTGTCCTGCTGACGGACCAGACACTGGTTTCTGGGTGGGTGTTTCAGGAGGTAGTTTGACTTCTTCCCAGATGCTTTCTTTAGAAAGACTGGAAAAGTCTATGTTTGCTTTCTCCGGTATAAAACTTTCACTCTCCATGAAAGAATGGATCTGCCCCTTCTCTGTGTTTCTTTCCAAATTTCCAATTGGAACTAGAGGCTTTGGTTCTTGGACCAGCTTTATTTCTTCAAAAGAATAAGTTTCAGTTGATAAGGTTTCTGTATGACTCCCAGAAGCATCAGGAGTGGATGCTGGTGTTTGTAATGGCAAATGAGATTCTTTCACAGCCTGAGACAGAACCTGCTTTCCGATTTCATACGTGTGATCCTCATTGGATGGAGCAGATTGGAGCTGCCCTATCTGTGGGTCACTTCTGCTAGAGGATTTCAGCTGCTCAGCCTCAGTTGTTATAAATGATTGTGACTGTTCCCAAGGCAAATTCTCTTTCATGAATGGCAACTGTTTAATATTTAGATCTGGTTTATCTTCAAAAGAGCTGCTCACATCAGACAAATTAACAGCTTGATCTGAATAAAGTAATTTTTCGGGTTTCTTTTGTTCTGCAGAGAGGTCAAAAGAAGCAATCTTTGATGGTTCTGCAGCAGACACACAAAGTTCCCTGTTTTCTTCTTTTTCTTTTTCTCTGCTCCTAAGCTCAACTAGGCCCTTCTCCAAAACAGAACTCTCTGTATCAGTTATAAGACATGTTACTGGTTCTGTATCTATAGGCCCACTCTGTCTGCCTAAACCACCAGTGAATTCTGGTAGTTTTGATAGTTGGTGCAGCTTGTCTTTTTTCTCAGACTCCAAAGGGAGCTCTGCCATAGCAAGATCTTGTTTTCCTGACAGGAAATCCCCATGAACTGGTGAAGTAATGTCCCCTGCTTGTTTGTTCTTTCCATCCCCAAGGGTCAGTAGTGTTGGGACTAAGTCTTCTGACACTAAGTTTTCAAACTTGGGAGAAGAACTTGTCATGTCCTCATTTTTGCCTCCTGGAACTATGTGTTTAGGTGCAGGTGATACAGTGTGTGACAAAACAAGTCTAGTTTCTTCTTTCTCAATCCCACTCTCCAGGCTGAGTGAAAGCACAGGTTCAGGCCTTGATACTTCTGAGGCAGTATCCTGTGATGAAACCAAGTGTGTGGAGTCAAGAGCCACAGAAAATGAAAGACCTTGCTTGTCTTCTCCCTTTGCTCCCTCAGACACAGCTGAATGCTGAGGAGATGACACTTTGTCTACTGGCAATCCAGGCTTCACTTCTTCAGTGTCTACCTTTGACAAAATAGAGTGGTCCGAGGTAGAACACACACTTGGAGGTGAATCCATTTTGGTTTCTTCTTCCACTTCTGATGGAGCCAAACCTTTGGATAAAGAAGCTTTAATGCTAGAAGAAGCACTTGTAATCACTACCTTTTCCTCTTCAATAAGAATGGAATGCTCATCTACAGGCTTTAGGAGCACTGGAAAATCACTTCCTAATTCACCTTCTCCTGCTTTTGTTGGGCCTGGATGTTCTTCTACAGGGGTAGCAGGAGATGAATTTATCGGGATGTCTTTTAGTAATTTGGCAGGAAATGAATCCATCGGGATGTCTTTTACTAATTTGGTTAAGATTGAATCACACTTAGTTACAGGTGTGGTTGTTGAAGAGCTGGGTTCCATTTCTTTCTTTATTTCTTCTGACAAAGCTGAAAATGTTGGTGCAGGTGGACCATGTTCAACTTCCTTTTCTACTCCAGATGAGGTTGAATGAAGCCCTCTTGTTATTTTGGAAACATGTTCCACTTCCGTTTTCACTGCAGATAAAACTTCAGGTCCAGATATAGATCTTTCCTTTGGAGGTGAATATGCTTTAACTACTTTAGGCTCATTCTTTGACAGTGTGCTCTGTTCTAGCTCAGAAGGCACAGTTGGAGCTAAATTGAGATTGACATCCTTCTTTGGCTCACTTACCAGCTCAGGCAAAACTGAATTTTTTATCCCAGACCCTGGAACATTTGGAGTCTGAGGCTCCAGTTTTTGATCCTGTGACACATGTGCTGTAGCTTCTTGAGAATCAGGCACAGTTTCTTCCTTTCTGACTTCTGACAAAGCCATCTGTTCATCTGCAGCTTTCAGAATAAGTGATGCTTTGGGCTCTTGTTCTTTCTTAGTTGCATAGACTGAATCAAGTAAAACTGAATACTGAGATGCAGGTGAAATAGGTTTGGTTTCTTCCTTTGCCAAGGATGATTGTACATTTGAAGCAGCATGGGTTGTAGCTGCTGATGACTTAGCCTTAATTTCTTCCTGCTCTGTTCTATTGGTTAAATATGGTGGAATCAAATCTTCAGGCTCAGGCTCCAGAGATGCTTCAGTTTTCTGCTGTTGTGCCAAAATGAGATATTCAGATACAGATGTTGAGAATGTTTGAACATCCAACCTAGTTTCTGCATTGTCTGCTTCATCCACTGAAGATGGAAGGCTTGAGGCTTCAGGTGTAGACATGATAGGGAAAGGCTCAGCTTTTTGCTTCTCTGATGAATCAAAATACTCAGGGATGGGTGTAGCAGCTGTTGATCCAGTCTCTTCCTCATCTGCTTCTGAAAAGTAGGAAAATCCTGAAACAGACCTTGCAGGTAAGAGGGAGTCTGGCTCACTTTCATTTATTTCTGTTTCTGGGATTCTGTATGGTGGGACTGAAACTTGTGATGCTGAGTCTGGGGAAAAAAGTCCACCATCTTCAGTGTCTTCATCTGACAAAACAGGGTGTTCAGATGGAGATGTTAAACACACTGGGGAACCACACTCAAATTCTCTTTTTTCTGTTTCTTGAGTTGAATAGGGAGAAAATGAGAATTCTGACACAAATGCAGAATCTGGAGAAAAGGGTCCAATGTCTTCTTGTTCTGATAAATTCATGGGTGATGAGGCACCTTTAAGATGCAGAGGGGATCTTTGGACAATTTCTTCTTCCTGGGACTCTGGCATTGCATATGGCGGTACTGAAAACTCAGAAGTGGATGTGGAAGAGGGTGAGTACCGCTCTGTTTCTATTGTCTCTTCTTCTGATAGGACTACGTGTTCAGATAGGGTCCCTGCATGTGGTGGGGCCTGGTATTCAGAAATCATCTCAGTTGTGTGGGGTGGGAGAGAGCATTCAGGTGCAGGGACCACATCTGGAGAACATGAGCCAACATCTTCCGTCTCTGTTTCTGACAGAATCGTGTGCTGAAAAATGTCTTTTAATTTGAATTGGGGCACCTCATCAATGATCTTCTGGGATTCTTGTGTTGCATTTAGGGGGACTTCAGATTTGGAAGTCAATTTTGAATTTAGTGTGAAATGCTCACCCTCTAGGTCCTCTTTTTCTGACAGGACCATGTGTTGCAGGATAGCAGCAGAAGGCAGGGGTCTCTGGGACTCAGGAGTCTTCCCTATCAGGGGTGGTGAGAGAGAGCGCTCAGACACAGAGGCCACAGCTGGATCCTGTGACTCAGGGTCTTTTTCTTCTGACAGAATCACGGGCTCAGAAACATCTTTTGATTTTAATGGGGACTTGTGGTCAATTGTTTTCTTCAGTGACTCTTGTGCTTCATGCGAGGGAACTGAATATTCTGAAGATGTGGAATCTGGTATGTAATGTCCACTTTCTGAGGCCTCATCTCCTGAAAGGACCATGTTCTCTGAAGGGAATGCAGAAAATAGCTGTGACAGGCCTTCAGAAGGCTTCTCAGGAGTGGGTGGCCAGAGAGAGCACTTGGACACTGAGGCCACAGCTGGAGAACAAGGTTCAAACTCTTCATTCTCTTCCTCTGAGAAAACTGCACATTCAGATATGGCTTTTGCACTGGATGGAGAAACTGGATCAACTTCTTGCTTCTCTCGTTCATGGTTCAAATCCTGAGGGACTGAGTGCTCTGACAGAAAAGCAGAGTCGGTAGAAACAGACTCGATTTCCTCTCTCTCTTCAGACAAAGTGACATGGTCAGATGCTACTGTTGTCAGTAATGGAGGGCTGGGCTCCTCTTTTTCCCACATCTCAGGGGACAACTGTGGTGGGAAGGGCTGCTTAGAAACTAATGGGCTTTCTGGGTAATCGAGTTTTATGATCTCTTCTTCCAAATTAGAACCTTCAGGTTCAGGTATAGCAGCTATTGGTGGGGAAGCTTCCAGTTCTTCTTTTTCTGGCTCTTGGAACATGAGAGGCTCAGGAAGAGAAATGGGTGGCTCAGGCCTGGGTTCCTCTTTCTCTCCTTTGACACTAGAATGAGTGGGTGCCATGCATTCAGAGGCTGGCTCCATCCTTTCTAATGAAGTCAGCTCTAGTTCTTCCTTGCCTGGCTCAAGGCCTTCCTCAGTAGATGGTGACAGACCAGGTGAGACTGTCTCTGACAAATCCTTCTCTGCCTCCAGTGACATGGTACAGTCAGTAAAATCCATGACTTCCTTCATAGCCTCATCAAGCAAGGCTGAGGAGACTGAAGAGTCCATCTCTAAAGTGATGGCTCTCTCTACCTCAGCCTCAGATTCTTCCTTTGCTGTCTCCTGGAACACAGTTTGTGATGCCTTCAGTAAAAGAGAGGAAGCCTTGATTTCATGGGCTTTTGCCTCATCACCTGGCTGCACTGACTGTGGGGGTCTGAGCAGCACCTCTTGTTCTGCTGCGTTGTTACTCAAATAATGGGAGGCTATGGACTCAGCTGCAGATGTGGCTTTTAGGGAGGATTCAACATCAATTTTCTTTTGATTTTCATGGCCAAATAATGAGGACAGGGACTTTGACCCTTTGGAGAGCACACCTCTCCAAGGGGGACCAAGCTCTCTTAATTTATCATCTTCTGTGCTTTGGGTGACTAATTTACTTGTTTTGGAAACTATGTTAGAATCATGATTTTCCAAATCTGGTTCTAGACTAATGGATGCATCTTTCCCTTTTCTGTAATGTATTTCTTTAATGACATAACCCTTTGGCAATGTTCCATAAAATTGCAGAGGGATTAATTCTTCTTTAACTGAATTAAACATCTTAATCTTATATTGTACGGTTCCTATGTAGACTGGCCTTAACACTAATGGTTTGTGTTCTTTGTATATTGCCCCGGTAATAAGAGGTGTATTTGAGGCGGTCTTCTTTTTTCTTGTTTTATCATAGATGCCAGGAGATGAATTCTCTTTCTCGATGTTTAGTGCCTGGCTTTCTGAAATGAAAGACTTGTCCTTTTTATTTGCTGGAACATCTTGAGATTCAAAAGAATTTCTTTTTCTGCTGCCTTTCCGACGCAATGATGGTGAGCCATGCTTTGACTTATGAGTTCTTTTCCGAACCTTTTTAACTTCATCCACAATAAAGGAAACACTTCCTGGAGGAGAATTCACACTTGACCCTTCCAGACTACACACACCAGAAGTCTGGCTCCCTTCCGAGGTCCATGGAGTAGAAGATCTGCTTGAATTGGTCTCCCACGTTATCCCACTGTCTTCCCGTTGGACTGTCACCATGGAAAAGGCAGGGTCGGACATGATGCACTCCTGCCTGGTCTTGTCCTCTTCATCCTGGTCTGATAACCTATAATGCAGAACACTATCCATAAGTATATATCATGTAATAATATGAATTTTAATTATTATAATAAGTAAATACATTACAGCAGATATAAGATTAATGTGAAATTAAAATACAGAGCTCAATGTTGTCATCTACACTAAAAATAGAGATGTATGTTAAAATATTAAAGTTAGGTTACCAAACACAATAACACCTCAGAGGCCAGAATGACTTAATGTCCCTCAAACTCAAAAACAATGCAGGGCTGGGAGTTTTAGCTCAGTGGCACTGTGCCTGCCTCGCAAGCACAAGGTCCTGAGTTCGATCCCCAGTGCCAAAAAAACAAAACTCAAAAACAATTCAGAGGGTCCCTGCAGCACCTCCCCCTCAGTGGCCTCCTGACCCCCGTGACCCTCACTGGGATCACCACAGTCCTCATCTGTCTCCTGTACCTGTGCCCTCTCTGTCACCACCGTCCCCATCCACCAGCTTTGCACCACCCCACCCCTAGACTGTTGCCATCTGCTTCCTAACTGCTCAGCTGGAATCACACTTGCCTGTTACCCCTTACCCTCTCCCCATCCTTCCAGACTAGCTTTACTCAACAGTTTCATCATGCTGCTCCTTGCTCAAAAATCTTAGTAAATCTTCATATCTACAAAAAAAAAAATGCTCTGCATCCTTAGCTCTCTGATCCATAGCTGACAGTATTTCCAAGTACGCACCTATTCCAGCATGGCTAATTTGTTTTAACTGCAATCTTGTGCCACAAAATGACATTTTGGTCAATGATGGGCCACATAAATGACATTGGTCCTAGAAGATTACAGTAGAGATAAAAAAATTTCTATCATCTAGTGACATCACAGTGTCATTAGAAACTGCCAGATGTATAACAGTATAGCACATCAATTATGCATTGTACATCATACTTGACAAAGAACACAAACTATGTTGCTGGTTTGTGTGATTGCTGGGTTATACATGTAGTACTGGTTTATGTACTAAACTTTGTATTGTTATTTTGGAGTATAATCCTTCTACTTAAGAATATTTACTGTAACAACATGTGCCTAGTCATGCCAGCACCAGCCTCATACATCTCATGCTTACTGTCTTTTGACTGCATCAGGAGGTGATGTGGAATGAATGACCTCTACTACCCAGGTTTGTATAAAGTATGTGATATGATGTTCACACAATGATGAAATCACCATAGAATGCAATTCTCAGAATGTATCCTTACCATTAAGTGACACGCAATCATATATAATTCACTATCCAGGAAATATATCATGAGATCTCTGAGTCAGGATAAACAAAAAACCGGTCACTGAATAAATGAGAGATGGCCAAAAATTAAAAATGCAGCCTACCATGCTGCACTTTCCTCATCTGTAAAACAGGAAAATAATAAAACCTACCTTGTGGGATAGCTGTGAAGACATGAAATGCTAAGTAAAGGTCTTAGCCATGTAGCTAGTGCTCAGTAAGCATGATCTGTAATCAGCCTCCAGTTCAGTCCTTGGACCTGAGAGCAAAGCAGCCTGAGCACAGACGCACAGGTGTCTCCCTCGATGGCTCTCCTGTCCCCTGTAGAGTGGCAGGCTGTGGTTGCCCCTTCAGCTGTTGTCTGGGACCCTGTCTGTCACTCTGCAACACTTTCCTCATCTGGAATTTCCTTTCCCTTTTTCTCACGTGCAGTTATGCTGTTTCTCCATTTAGAATACTTATCCTCCACCATCCTACATCACTACCCTTTGAGGCTTAATTTTAAAATGTCCACTGTCACCATTCCTAACCAATGAACCAGACATGTTTGCCAAAGCTACATAAACATTAAGTTGGAGATTAAAAAACTCCATGGGCTATTTCATCCTACAAATATGGCTACACTATGAAATAAATCCAAACAAGTGACTGGCTTATACCTTTCTACAACAACAGAAACAGAAAATTCTGTGTTAAAACCACTAAGCATAAGCATTAAATTAAGGTGTCTTTTAAAAAGACACATAGTTAGGACTATGTCATTTATTAGCCCTTTATCATCATCAGTCACTGCATATATCAGTGGTTCTCAATTTGGACACTTCTGAAACCTCTGTGGGAAGATTTTTAATACTGAAATCACTCCACATCCCTCTGTACAGTGACTCTGATTTAATGTGCAGTGTAGAGTCTGGGCATTGCCATGTTTTATGTTTTAAGAGCTTCCAGGTGACTTCAATTTGCATCCGGAGTTGAAATCCTAGATCTAAAATTTAGATAAATCCTAGATCTAAAATGTATGTTTCTTGCTTACTCTGAACCCTTCCTGGTGTTTTAGCTTTGGCTGAAGACAAAGACCATTAGTACATTCTACTCCCCTTTGTTAAACTTTAGTCAGCAGTACTCTCCCAAAAGGGAGTTCTGGCTGTGCTGAGATGTTGATCTCCTTACCTCTCAGCACAGCCAGGTGGAGCCTGGGACTGCTGGCCTGAAGTAGCAGGCAGCCTCATCCATCCACACCAGTGTGCTGTAGATAACAGCCTGTTACAGTCTATACACCCTGAATGCAAAGGATTGGGAAGCAGTGGGAAGAACTAGGTTCCCCATTTTCTGGCAATTCTGTGCTCCGTTATTTGTTTTGGTATTAAGCTACTGAATTTGATTAGTATCTAACCATGGTCCTGGACTGAATCTTACTTTGAGCTGTTTTTCAGGCTCTTTTACATACAAAATTAAAGTTATTGCTCACAATTTTCAACTCATACTACTCTTTGCTTTTGTGTCACTTAACAGAAGTAGGATGAAATTGAAAATTAAGGTTATGACACGCATCTGGAAAGTCAGAATTTGGAATGACTGTGACTGTAAGCAGCATTATAAAAGCAATTATAAATTCAATTTAGAGTTCATTACGGATTGTAAATTCAATGTGCCCAAGCAGAGACATTTTCATTACTAGCTGGCATGAGCTAGCTAGCTGAGCAGGAGTGCTGAGCAGAGCATGCAAATGGTGGCCTTAGAATAGAGCCCCACTGAGGTGGAGTTAACCAACCATCTGCTTATTTGTTAACTCATTTTTGCATTTAATAAACTTTTATTAAGTTTAGATAGTAAGAATGTAATATAATGACACAGAACCTTCTTTCAAGAAATTCAAATCTAGTGAGAAGACAGAACTAAACATTTCAATAACATGTGATAAGAACTATTGCAGGAAGTAGGCCAGATAGCTCCTAAGGAAGGAAAGACTTCACAGAGGACAGATGCTGAAACTGGTTGGTTGGTAAAATGGAGGAGGAGAGAAGACAGCATGAGGTTTGTAGAGATCAACAGAAAAGGTCCGAAGATATGCAAAACATGCACATAAATGAACACTGGCTCAGTGAGAGACAAAGTTGAATAATAGGCTGGCATCAGAGAACAACTATATTAGTGTGTGCAAAGCCATAGCCCAAGTGTTCATATCACACTCAGTCTAAAGAAACAATGTACTGTACTGTACTGTACTAACTCAGGGGAAATTGTCCTTGTGAAGCTCAGAAATGTTGCTAGGACTGTTTCTCACTAAGCAATGCAAATGTTTTCATCTATGCACACAACAGCCTTTCATCACTGAAGGATGGTGGGTGTAAAGATCATCTCTTCCATTTGCCTCTGATGATGTCCTCACAAAAGAGCCTTCTGGTGATTACTTGGCTTCCTGTGCAGGTTTATCCAAGGAGGGCGCTGAGGCAAACTAATGACTCCCCTAACCCCTGTAGAGTTGGACAAGAAGGCTCAGCAGGTCTGAGTTGGATCAAGGACAGGACAGATTAGTACCAGACAGGAGCGCCAAAGGCTCCTTCTGAGGATAGCCCTGATTAAAGTTTCCCTAGAGTTAAATTTGTTGTCTTATTATTTGTTTTCTATTTGTACAACCTAGTCAGTGTTCCTTTTTTTCTTCCTTGATTTATTTTGAATTTTTTTTATTATTCCATTTCCCCCTCCATTAGCTTGGCAGTTATATTCTATTTTACTATTCTTTCAGCAATTACTTTAGAATTTGCAACATGCATCCTTGACCCATTAATAACTAATATAAATTGTGAGGATTTTTTACCATTTCCTGGATAATGCCAAGTATCATGAATCACTTTAATTTCAACATATATATATCACTTTTACTTATATTTCAAGCCAACAAATGTTTTAAAATTTCACAAGATATAATTAATTTTACTATTTTAAACCATCAATATTTATTTAGATTTACCTAGATAGTGAAACATTTTATTGTGCTTCATTCTTTTTTGTATCTCTGAGATTCCATCTGACACCCTTTTTCTTCTCCCTGAAGAATTCCCTGTAGTATTTCCTATGGTGTGGATTTTCTGGTAACAAATTCTTACTGCTTTTTCCATTAAAAGTCTTTTACATCTTCATTCTGAGAGAATATTTTCTCAGGATATAAAAGCCTAGGTTGTTAGGTATTTTTTCTCAGCACTTTAAACATATCATTCTATTATTTTCTGTCTTCCTTTTTTTTTCTAATGATAAATTAGCTTTCAGTGTAACTATTGCTTTTTTGAAAGGAATATGAAATTTCTCCCCTATTAACCCTGATGATTCTTGGGATTTGGTTGTTGTCTTTAGTTTTCAGAAGTTGCTGTCATATGCTCAGGTATCTTATACTGCTGGGAGTTTGTGTGGTTTCTTGAATCTGCAGATTAATATCTTTCATCATTTTGAGACATCGTATTGTCTGTTCAAATATTGTTTCTGCCTCCTTGCTTCTCTTTTCTTCCGAGATTCCAATTTCTCATAAATTACAGTCTCACTATATCCAATCTGTGCTTTATTTAAATGTTTCTTCCAATCTATCATCCAGTATACTAATTCTGTTTTCAATATGTCCAAATTGTTTATTAAAATAATCAAATGTAGTTTTGTTTCTTCATTTTAAGAATTTCTATTCTTTTAATTCTCTGACAAAGTTATCAGTCTTGTCTTTTATTTTGATATCCCATCTCTATAAATACAGTATCACATAA